CGGTCTAGGAGACTCGAGCAGAAGACTCGAAGGTTAAACCTAGATAAGATGTCCAAATAGTTTTCGCAAAAAAAAAAAGAAAAAAAAAGAAATAAAAAAAAGTAAAAAAAAAAAATGATTGGGAAGTATGTTGGTCTTGGAGTTAGTGGGAGAGCCGGTTTGTAACAACTGGATGAGTTTGTTGATATGGTTGGGTGAATGAGTTGAGTTGGTATATTTTGAGTCACTTAGCCTATATTTATCCTACCCAGTCCAAAGAGCCTATGTTACAACCCTTAAGACCTCTTGATTCACTGTTCTATGAATTTGATTGCTTTAGAGTAAAAGTTAGACGATAGTCAAACTTATGATTGACTTGATTGATGACCAACGTGAGTGCAACTATCATAATTTGCAAAAGTGATTGAGTGAGGCATATGATACATTTTCGTACTCGAGAGTTTTTCTTTTTCGAAGTAACCAAGTTAATAGTTGAGGTGTGCTATTATGATCATTGCTATTCTTCTTGACTTGATTGATTGGTTTGAGATTAGTCTTGCTTGAAACCGTGTCCATGCTCATTTGTTGGTTTTCTTCTCTTTTCTTTGTTCGGGACGAACAAAGGTCTTAGTGTGGGGGAGTTGTTTGTCCCATTTTTGTTGCTATTTTAGTTGGTATTTTGTGTGTCGTTTCCCCCGTTTTAGGTTTTTTCTTAGGTATTTCTGGTCCCTTCTAGTCGTTTCTCGTGTTTTGTTTTTATTTAGGTGTGTTTAGTTTTTTCTTGGTTTTTCTTCCTATTTTCTCGTGTTTTTGTGTTCGTTTGGTTGTGGTGGTTTTCAGGACTTGGAGATGGAAAAACGTTCCATTCCGGTTCCCAGGAGTTCTATACTAGTTCGTGCGATCAGACCATGCGAGGGCTGAGTTTGTAGCTCGGCAAGACCCGAGAAATACCAGCCGAGAGCACGCGAGCCCGAAATATCAAGTTTTTTGGAACAGACCAGGCCATAGCGGCGGTACGCATCATAGCGAGCGGCTGCAGCTCGAGTTTTTCAGCCATAGTGGCGCTAACCCCTTAGCGCCGCGGATGAGGATAGTTTTATTATTATTATTATTATTATTATTATTATTATTATTATTATTATTATTATTATTATTATTATTATTATTATTATTATTATTATTATTATTATTATTATTATTGTTATTAGTAGTTAGATTGGAGAATAAGTTAGGTTTTAGTTTAGGAGTCTTATTTAAAGGGCACTTGTGCTTTGTTATTAGGGAAGTTGATTTTGAATAAAAGATGAATTGATATTGTGAGTTTTGCGTGTTTTACGAGAGAGTATCTTGTTTACTCGTTTTATCCTTTCCCATTCGTACGCTTTCCCTACATCAGTTGATATCAGCAGTCAGTACGATCGCGATGCCGCCGGGATGACAAGATACCGCAAACAAACAACGTGATGCAACCTTCAACGATTGGTTTCAGCATATTGACTACCGATTTCATGAGTTGGACGTGCGTTTCACGGATTGGTTTGTCGATCTTTCGACGGGGATCGAGGATTTGCATTTGACGCTTAACAACGTGGTTGCGGAATTACAAAGGAACCGCGATGGGACTGTGGGCCGTGGCTTTCGCGGGGGAGACAGAGGCGGTTATGGGGAACACAGCCATGTCGGGGCGCCCCGATAGCGGTCCCGGCCACCTCTGAACGGCTTCGTGGACGGCGACGATCAACGCAGCGGCATGGGCTGGCGCGAGGAGGCAGCCTTCGCTGGTGGATATCGTGCCCGACGCGATTGGGGACTTGATCACGAATATAGTCAATTGGAGGGCCCGTTTCGTGTGGTTATTCCTGATTTGGATGGAGAACAACATGACGGACCATTGTACGACGGTCCTCCGATTTTCGATGAGGAGCCTCCGAGGCCAGAGGATAAAGCTGGAATTATTGCTATTAATACCGTTGAACTTGATGCGATTCTTGGTGGCCACATTGAGCAGTACAGAGAATTACATGGGCACGAGTCTGACAAAGTTTTGTCATATTTAAATTCATGTTTCATACCCCTTGAAGGTGGTGTTGAATTTCTTAGTTTTAGATGCCCGGGGGTGTTTGGGTTGGAAGTAAGAGTCCTATGTTGTGTGGGTCGGCTAGAGTGGACGTTGGGAGACATTCAACTTTCGTGATCGATAGGGGAAAACGTCGGACAATGATTACCATGGGTATGACTCCAGTGTCAGTGCGTTTAGTGTGGCGTCAAGGGCGAAGCCTTCCGAACCGGAGGAGAATGATGAAGATAGTTTAATTATTATTATTATTATTATTATTATTATTATTATTATTATTATTATTATTATTATTATTATTATTATTATTAGTAATAGTTAGCTTGGAGAATAAGTTAGGTTTTAGTTTAGGAGTCTTATTTAAAGGGCACTTGTGCTCTGTTATTAGGGAAGTTGATTTTGAATAAAAGATGAATTGATATTGTGAGTTTTGCGTGTTTTACGAGAGAGTATCTCGTTTACTCGTTTTATCCTTTCTCATTCGTACGCTTTCCCTACATCAAATGATGAGGATAGTTTAATTATTATTATTATTATTATTATTATTATTATTATTATTAGTAGTAGTAGTAGTTAGCTTGGAGAATAAGTTAGGTTTTAGTTTAGGAGTCTTATTTAAAGGGAACTTGTGCTTTGTTATTAGGGAAGTTGATTTTGAATAAAAGATGAATTGATATTATGAGTTTTGCGTGTTTTACGAGAGAGTATCTCGTTTACTCGTTTTATCCTTTCCCATTCGTAAGCTTCTCTACATCAGCCGCTAACCCCCGTTTTGTAACTAAAGCTATTTTCTCGGAATTTCGAATGGCAGGGCTTAAGGATCGAATTGGGGACGGATTTTATTCATTCCAGACCTCGTTTTTCAAACTTTATCATCTCTATAACACATCTTTTCTCTTGGTTTATGCTTGGATTTGATTTTGGAGTGTAAAAACTGATTCTCTAGCTTGTGGATTTGGATTGTTCGTCGTTTTTTTTCGACATTGGATTTGGTAATAATCGTAAGCACTCATTTTTATTTTGTTAATGAATGTGATGGCTTATTTTATTGTGAATGTTTGTGTTGAGATTGCGATGAGTAGCTAAATTCCATAAGTTAGGGATAGGGGACGGTTGTTTCGATTCGTTTTCAATTACGTGTTTGATAATTGTTCAATCCTTGCGAGTTGTGCGAATTCTAGGGTTAGTTGATTGATCACCAATCTAACCTAATCAATCGACGTTTAGAACCGAAAGGGGAGACGTCAGTCAATTTAGGCTCGTTTGGAATAGACTTGTTCTTTATGGTATTGTCTATGTGTTGTAGGGTTTGATGAGTTGCTCGTTTATGTTCACCTTCTTGTTACGAAGAGTTATTTAAGGTGAACCTCCATACGAGTAGGTGATTCAAACCCTTTAACCGAGCAATTGATTGCCCGATAATTGAGTCAAGAACCAAAAACGATTGTCCCCGACTCCCTAACTCATTTATAATCAAGTTAATTCGTTTGCTCTTGAATTTTAGTATTGCATTGCTTTAGAATTCATAGTTGATAATTGAAACCCAAACAATTGAATTAGAACATTTAGGAATTTCTTTTCTCTTTTCTTGTGATCGAATATCCGTACAATTAATCCGGCTAACCTTCCTTTAGAGACGACCCGGTGTTTGAATCATTTGATTTAACTCCGGTAAAAATACTTACAACAATAGATTGCTTGAGGTGTTGGTGGACATTGGGTCTACTTTGAATTTTATAGATGTGGATGTTGACATCATTTTCAGTAAACCGAATTAAGCGACACTGATCAGATGATTATGTTCGGTAGGAGGATGATTAAGTAGATGATGTCTTCACGGATCTCAAGATAATCATATATCGGGTGAAAATTCATCAAGAACCGACATCGTCGTCAATTGACCGATATCTCATGTCGGTTATGACATGTCGGTTACTACATGTCGGATATGACATATCAGTTACAACCACACGAGCCGATATCTATGACTTGCTAGACCGACACCACAAGGCGGTGCCAACGCAGCACAACTCATCATTACACCTAGCCAAGTGGCGCGCTACCAGGATGAATGGCAATTAGCCGCTGTTGACTATTCTCATGTAATGATTACATGTTAGATAAATGTTGTAAATAAATATAAAAAGAAAAGGAGTGCTTCAAAAAGACAAGAGAAACACGCATACAATAATATTCAAAAAAATTCTATCTCATTTCACTGTTCATATAGTTTTTGTTGCTTTATCTTGAATTTACAATAAGTCCCATGTTGATTATATAGTTGTTAATTCCCGTTTAACAACAGTTTGGCGCTAGAGGAAGGGCACATCACGTTTTGAGGTTAACTTTCGCTGTTAAAGCCATTTTCGCGCTTAAAGTCACCATGTCGCAGTCTGGTCGAGACCACACAACTCATCCTGGCCAGAGCCAATCGACTAACCATTCTCCGCGGCGTTCAACACCACCCCCTCCGGTCACGAATATCACGAACTTTCTTCAAAACCCGGAGTTTATTCAAGGTTTAACCTCTTTGATAGCTCGAGCCATGCCCAGAAACTCGAGTACGGTGCCATTATCAACACCGCTAACTACCAATCCAACAGAACATCCAAATCATACTCGTCATGACCCCAAAACGCATGCGGCGACATCCCATGCTACGTCACAACCCCACCATACTTCTCCATGTCGAGAAGAGTTAACTCGTATGAATGCTAACCCAGTAACGAATAATCAAGCCCCGGAGGAACCCCCTGTACAGGAAATGACTGCTGAAAGCCACTCTGCTCATCATCAGCGAATTCCGTCACGTCCTAGACTCGCTTCATCAATGCCTCATGTTCGTGAAGATTTGTGGCGCCAGATTGAACGGAACCGTATTTCGAGGCACAGTGCGGAGGAAATTGAAACTCTTCGTAAATGTTTGGCCGAACTCGAGACTTGACAGAAGTCACAGGAAGATTCTCCCCGACATGTCTCGACGTCGGGAAATGTCATTGTCGAAGCTGATTCACCTTTAGCTCTGGAACTTACCGCGGAGGCACTTCCTGCTAAGGTAAAAATCCCGCAAATTGGCATGTATGATGGAACATCGGATCCAGATGCACACTTGGGCCATTATACGTCTTGGATGGATTTGGATGGTGCCTCAGATGCTTTGAGATGTCGGATGTTTTCGCTTACACTGGGGCCACGAGCACAAAAATGGTACTATACTCTCCCACCTCATTCAATTTGGAAGTGGCAACAGTTACGTGCGGCCTTCCGATCACACTTCATCGGAGCTCAAATTTGTCTCATCCCAAAAGAATCAATTACTAACATCGTGCAAAAGGACGACGAGACTGTTAAGGGCTACGTGTCTCGGTTCAACGACCGAACTCAAAACATGGAGCCTTGTCACCCTGAGACCCTGTTAGTAACCGCAATTGCTGGACTGAAGCCCAACTCGATGTTTCGCTGGACCTTGTGCCAAAACAAACTGGCCACCTTTCAAGAATTTCTTGTACGAGCTCAACAATTTATTATTGCCGAGGAATCGATGTCGGTTCCCAGTTTTGACTTCTCGGTGAAAGAAAACAAGACTGAACCAGACGCTAAAAAGAAGAATAAGAAGAACTTTGGGAAAGCACAATTTTGGAATTTCTCCAAAGGATATGAAAATACTCCAGAGTCTAGGGCCTCTCGTGATCAGTATTCAGATAATGTCAGGACAGGCTATCAGGCCGTTTATTCAGCCGGAGCAGCCACTATATATGAAGAACTGAAAGGAAAAGGGATTATTCCAGACCCGAGACCTGTGAGAACCCCTGAAGACAAGCTGGACAAAACTCGATACTGTGCATATCACAAGTCTCCGGGATATAATACCGATGAGTGTCTCGGTCTTTTGTCAGCACTCTTACTGTTAATTGGACAACCTCAGCTTCAAAAGTTCCGAAATTTTGATAATCGCCGGAAAGGAAGGCCCTTGGATCTTTCAGATGATAAAGATGATGATAATTGACCTGTTAACCCGAAAAGAGCCCGTGCAAACGATAAGGAGGTTTTCACGTTTTCTACTCTTGTCGGAACTTCGACTGATAACTGCAGGAAATCCAGGATACATGATACCTCAGACTCTTCAAACTGCATACCTCGAGTCAATTCTAATAATAAACAGTTGGATACTTCTCGACGGAAAGCCAAAGCCTATGCCAGGGAGGCACAAAACGCCGAGAAACGAGTCATGAACGTTGATCTTCGAGATACCATCAATAAACGGAATTGACCTATCACATTCAGTATCGAAGATGCCAATCTATTTGCTCATCCTCATTCCGACGCCCTTATCATAACAACCCCGATTGGAGGGATTCCTGTTCACCGAATTTTGGTCGATACAGGAGCTTATTCAAGTATTTTGATGCTCCGCACTTTCAAGAAATTGGGTTTGGACCCAGCAGACATTAGGCCTTGCAACGACCAAATTCAAGGTTTCAATGGAAGCATTTCCTGCCCTGTCGGCGAAATATTGCTCCCTATTCGGTTTGGTGGCTTTGGACCAAAATCCAAGATTATTATGGAGACTTTCAAAGTCTTAGATGTCCAGAATGAATATAATGCTGTTATAGGACGAACTGCACTTTATAAACTTCGTGCTGCTGTGTCAATTTTCCATTATGCCCTGAAGTTCCCCACTATTGAAGGAGAAGGCACTCACTATGGAGATCAACGAGAAGCCCGAAGTCTGACGTTGCTCTCAACCTCGCGTAACTTTCATATGATTGAAGAGCAGGATACTGATAACTCCATTGTGTTGAACGACCCAACTCTTAATGCTGAAAGAACTGATCAGTTTGCTTCAGATACCGACATTCCCCTTGCAGATACCGATGTCCCTATGACGTCGGTTTTGCCCGAAACATTAACTAAAGCCCTTGATCAAGAACAACCTGTTCATGAGAAAGACATAGGAATACACGAAGATATGGATCCACGGATGCAGTTCAAAGATGGGAATCATCATGTCCGGGCGGAACCAGTTGAAGATGTCGAAACCATTTACGTGGATGGATCGACTCGGGAAAAATCATTGCGCATTGGAGCTAACCTTCAAGAACCCACACGGTCGAGCTTAATTCAGTTTCTTCAGTCAAATTCCGATGTATTCGCTTGGAAGCATGAAGACATGAAAGGAATTGACCCGCAGAAAGCATGTCATCGCTTAAATTTGGATAAGACCGTCAAGCCCGTTATTCAGAAACGCCGGAAATTCGGCCTAGATCGCCAGAAGGCCCTTGAAGAGGAAGTAAACAAGCTCATAGACAATAAGTTCGTCAAAGAAGCCAAATACCCGATGTGGATATCGAATCCTGTCTTGGTCAAGAAAGCCACCGGCCTTTGGCGTCTGTGCATAGATTTCTCAGATTTGAACCAAGCATGCCCGAAAGATAGCTATCGAATTCCACACATTGATTACATGGTAGATGCTACATCGGGACATCAACTCATGAGTTTTTTGGATGCCTATTCCGGTTATAATCAAATTCCCATGCACCCTGATGATGCTGAACATACATCGTTCTACTCAGCCCGAGGTCTTTATTGTTATGTCATGATGACTTTTAGATTGAAGAACGCTGGGGCCACATACCAAAGGTTGGTCAATAAGATGTTTGCTCGTTTGATCGGCCACACAATGGAAGTTTACGTGGACGACATGCTAGTGAAATCGGAACAGGCCTCTGATCACATCGCTCATCTTTCTGAGGTCTTTAACATTCTACGAGAATATTCCATGGTCCTTAATCCTAAGAAGTGTACTTTTGGAGTTGGATCAGGGAAATTTTTAGGATACATGGTGAGTCAGAGAGGGATCGAAGCCAATCCTGCCAAGATTCAAGCCATACTTGAATTGGCTCCCCCGACATCTATTAAGGGTGTCCAAGCTTTAACCGGTTGACTGGCAGCCCTAAACTAATTCATTTCAAAGTCGACGGATCATTGTAAGCCATTCTTTGACGCTATCAGAAAGAAGAAGCCGTTCGAATGGACTGTAGAATGTCAGAACGCTTTTGACAACATCAAAGAAGTTCTCTCACGATTACCGACATTGCAGAAACCTCTTTCTGATGAACCTTTGTATTTGTACTTGGGTGTAAGTGACGTTGCTGTTAGTGTTGTTTTTATACGACAAGATGGACTTCAACAGTTCCCGATATATTACGTTAGCAAGGCTTTACATGACGCTGAATTACGATATCCATATATGGAGAAGCTAGCCTTTGCTCTGATCATCACTGCACGGAAGCTGCGTCCATATTTTCTGGAACATTCTATTATCGTGTTTACATCATACCCTCTCCGACAAGTCCTTCATCGACCTGACACGTCGGAAAGAATGATTAAGTGGGCGATAGAACTGGGACAGTTTGATATTCAGTACCGACCATGAACCGCAATCAAAGCTCAAGTGTTATCTGACTTCATTGCTGAATTTACTCCAATTGTCAATACATCCATTGAAGATCCGACATGGACTCTTTACATCGATGGATCGTCCACCGCTATA